CATTTTGTCATCGGTGAGCAGAGAGCGCTCTCTCTCTCTCTCTCTCTCTCTCTCTCTCTCTCTCTCTCTCTCTCTCTCTCTCTCTCTCTCTCTCTTTCTCCTTCCCGGTGGCATGTCCTAAACTGCTTCCCTCTGCCACATCCTTCCACCATGATGTTCTGCCTCACCTGAAGCCCAGAGCTATGGAGTCAACCAACTATGGAATGAACCTCAGAAACCATGAGCACCAAATGAACTTTTCCTCCTCTGCATTGTTCTTGTTGGGCCTTTCGGTCACAGCAGCACAAAGATGACTAAAACAAGGGTTCCTGTACTCACAGTAAACCCAGCGCTCTAGGCTGCTAACTCCGCACATGCCCCTGAAGTGGTATAATATTGGGCTGCCCTATCTGTGTCTCCCTGACCCCAGAGCTCTCAGCCCTCAGGTTGTGGACTAGGCCAACTCAGGCTGGTTGATGGCGAGGCCTCTAACTGCCCTCCTATCTTCCATCCAGCCTGTGCAGTGACCCCCCCAACCCACCTCCTGCAGAAGAGAACAGACACTCCAAACCTCTTCAGGCCCTTTGTAGTCTGGCCCCTGTTTCTTCTCACATCACTGCCTTCTTTCTCACTCTGGAATAGTCAATGGGACAAAAATATTTCAACTTCCCCCAAAGGGCCAGTTTCCATTTGTCTCCTGAGTTTTCCTTTCTATGCCCAGAATCATCATTAGATATTGAACCTAAGAGGAAATTTTGGTGACAAGCAGGATATTTGCATTGTCTTAAAGTCTAACCACAGACTCCTTATTGACTGCAGGGAGAAAAAGAATAGTAATTATACAGTGGAGAAATTGGGCCAAACTCTGGGGTTTAAAATTAACATCACCAACAAGGGACAGCTGGCGGCCATCTATGCAGTAATCAGGCTAGGAATGCATAACCTTAACCTAAACACAAGGGACATCTGATAAACACAAAGTGAGGAGCATTCTATTAAAACTGAATGAAGAGGTGTGGATCCTTCAAAAATGCCAACATCATACGAAACAAAGAAAGACTGTAGAAATAATAATGTGCCTTGATTTGGACTATTCAATTCTAATGAATATGCACAAGAATTCTGTGCATCCTAATATGGGAGCAAAACAGTTTAGTAATAAATGATGCTTAAGTAATACCGACAAATTTAAAAAGAAAAGGTTTTACATAATGGTCTTACTGCACTTTTTTTTTTAAAAAAAAAAAAGGCATAAAATCTGCAGTGAATGTGGTGAAATTTGGTATAGTAGGGGTAAAAGAGACAGGATAACAAAATGTAGTATCTGACCCTAGATTGGAGACAAGGACTTTAGTAGGTTCTCAACATTGGAAAATGAACGGTAGATTAAAGTACTGTATCAGTGTAAATTTAAGGAGCTCTAACTGCACTCAGGTTATATAAGAGAATATCCTTATCCCTCAAAAATGCACACCAGATTAGTTCTGACTAAAATGTTAAAACACTTAAAAACCTGCACATAAAACCTCGAGTGGGGGTAGGGTTGTGGCTCAGTGGTAGAGTGCTTGCCTAGCACGCATGAGGCACTGGGTTTGATCCCTAGCACCACATTTATTAAAAAAAAAAAAAAAAGAAAAAAAAAAAGAAAGAAAGAAAGAAAGAAAGAAAGAAAGAAAGAAAGAAAGAAAGAAAGAAAGAAAGAAAGAAAGAAAGAAAGAAAAAAGAAAAGAAAAAGGAAAAGGAAATATAGGTATTGTGTTCGTCTACAACTAAAAAATATTTTAAAAGAACAAGTGGCAGGTATCTGAACATTTGCTGCTTTTCTCTCTATTCTGAATATTTAAGAATTTTCACAATTAACATTTCTTTTAGAATTCAGGCTGAGAAAACTTGGCCACCCTGCCCTAATCCTAAACTTGATCCCGTACTGCTCTAGATGCATGTACGGGTTTTCCTTTCGGGTGACTTTTAAATCGTCCTCTGTAAGAGTTTTCTACACTTTCCACATTTCCCATCAAGTCCCACCTACATCTTTAGGTTCCTGGGGGCGGGGCAAGTTATGTTCAGGTATCCACAGGTTGACTTGTGGCTGTCCCTTGTCCACGCGTGAAGTGAGCTACGTGATGGGGGTGGGGCTGGGGTCTGAGGGAAGTGCTGCTTCTGTCTGCTCATTCTTTTGAGGAAGCAGGCCTGGGTTTCCTGTGCCCTCAGGCTCAGGTGAGTCACCTGGCAGAGCTTTCTGAATCCCTCCTGAGCTGCTCTGCTGCCCTGGTTGTCCTTGCCATCTGGCACGGTCTCTCTGGCAAGCTCCTCTGCTCTGGAACATTGACTTGCCCACACCCTCTGCTGCCCTGAGGATCACTCTCAGGACTGGGAAGCCTTAATGAATTCCTGAGCTGTGCAGAGCGGCCTCCAGCCCTCACAGGATAATCCAATCAGACGCCATCGGCATGGTGGAGTGGGGCTATTTCACCTGTCAGGGGATCTGGGAAGTCTTCTTTAATAGCCACGAGGTGTCCAGCCCTGGGAGAGAGGCCTTCTGCTTGAGACAGGACCCAGAGGACTGTGATGCTAGGTGACATTCATAGCCCCCCAGTAATGAGGGGGTTCATGCAAGTCCATATGTTGAGAGAGACCCGTGGGTTTTATTCCACAATTCTGGCTATGAGAAAGAGCACTTTTAAAATTTTGTTATTATCTTTATTTTGATGCTAGAGATTGAACCCAGGGCCTCCCACGTGCTAAGCACATGCTGTCCCACAGAGCCACATCCATCGCCCTTATATTATTTTATTTTTGGTGTAATCTTTGAAACTTGAAGACTGCTCCCCCTGAAAATAAAATTAATCTGACTCTAAGCTCCCATGTGTCATAGTAGTAGGAGAACCAATCTTGGTCACTGGGGATCATATAAGACTTCAGGATGTGGGATTGGGGTTAGGGGCCATGTTTACCTCTTTGGGGCCTCTGTGGCAGAGTCTGATCCTGCTGTCTGGGCAGGGCCACATAAATCCCTGTGGCAACTTTTTAAAAGGTGCCCCCTTGGCAGCTACCACCTCAGGATATAGAGCTAGGTGGCTGATAGCACTTTCATTGGAAGAAAAGGGCATCTTTTCCCTGAGTGAGGATTTCCCCCTCACTCATCCCTTAGCCCACCCAGGCCCTCTCTTTCATGCACAACTGCACAGCAGCACACTCTCCTTCCTCTTGGGCCCACACATGTGTCCAACTTGGAGCATCAGGGTCTTCGTGATGGGGCGGGGCCTCAACCCAGGTAACTCCTTGCAGCAGTTCCCTGACAGGAAGGGATTCGACCAACCACAGGTTCCACCAGAGAACTCCAGTCCTCATCAGCTCCCCCTCTGTTGCTCATCCTCTCCTGGGCTCTTCCACCCATTATTTCTCATAGGATGTTCCTATGGAATTGCTCCCGTGGGCTCCAAGAAGCAGGAGGTTGTTACCTCTTTTCAGGGATCAAAGGAGATAGAAACACCAGGGGGCCCAATATTCCCTACTAACTCATCCTGATACATAAGTAATCGAAAATCTTGAAACTTTAGGA